ACACACACACACACACACACACACACACACCCACACACACACACCACACACAACACACACACACACACACACACACACACACACACACACACACACACACACACACACACACACACACACACACACACACACACACACACACACCCACACACACACCACACCACACACACACACACACACACCACACACACACACACACACACACACACACACACACACACCACACACCCACACACACACACACAACACACACACACACACACAACAACCACACACACACACCCACACACACACACACACCCACACACACACACACACACACACACACACACACACACACACACACACACACACACACACACACACACACACGCGCACACACGCACACACGCACACACGCACACACGCACACACGCACGCACACACACACACCACACACACACGCACACACGCACGCACACACACACACACACGCACACACGCACACACGCACACACGCACGCACACACACACACACACACCACACGCACACACGCACGCACACACACACACACACACACGCACACACGCACGTACACACACACACACCCTCGCTTCCGGCCCGCTTCTGACTGGCTTCAGAGCTCTAAGGAGACCCGCAGTCGGCTGCTAGACCGTTCGCCCATCTGCGAGATGACCTCGTCCCCACCCTTGCGCCTCTCCGACCCGCACGACCGTCACTGCTGACCGGGGCAAGCCACTGACCTCACCTGCCTTACCCGACACGGCGTCCTGTGGCTGCTTGAACTCACCTGCCTTACCCGACACGGCGTCCTGTGGCTGCTTGACCTCACCTGCCTTACCCGACACGGCGTCCTGTGGCTGCTTGACCTCACCTGCCTTACCCGACACGGCGTCCTGCGGCTGCTTGACCTCACCTGCCTTACCCGACACGGCGTCCTGTGGCTGCTTGACCTCACCTGCCTTACCCGACACGGCGTCCTGTGGCTGCTTGACCTCACCTGCCTTACCTGGCACGGCGTCCTACGGCTGCAGACTGCTGTAGTGGGCCGGAGAGGCGCTACCTCCAACGCAGGCACTGACGCGGCGCGCGTGCCTGCTGGCAGACTTTCCGTGGCTGCTGGACTGAAGCGGACTCACTACACCGGACTCATTAAACCAGACTCACTTGATCACCCCGTTGGGTGCACACTCCGGCTAATATGGAGTGCGCGCGGTATCGGAGACAGTGAAGACGCCGCGACTGGCGGCCGTATTACGCTGGCGTTTGCGAGCCGCCCGTTAATTTACGGCGCTGGGCTGGCGTATCATGGGCATCGATCCAGGAGGGGGCATGCCACCTGTACGTGCAGGAAGAGCCACTTCCAGCCGTCAGGCGTTGCATGTGGGACAAATGGCGCGGTGTTTGGGCGTCGTTTAGCTGCACACGGACGCAGCGTTTTGGCGGCAATTATGCCATTTTTGTGCGCCAGTTATGGGTTCACTTGACTTCTGACCTTTTGTCAAACCATCAAGTGTTACAACAGCGCAGGGAAATGTACCTCTGCCATTTGTTAACGGAAGTTACAACACGCAACACACCTGGCATTGGCAGTGTGCTTATAATCAAGGCGTGCGTGTAGCTCCTTCCACAACCTTCGCTGGCCGGGTTGAAGTGGCATTCCAACAAAAAGGCTTCCATCACGGATGTGACTTCTTGGACGAATGTTTAAACGCTGATATTGCATGATGGTACACTGGCGAGAGGGCATGGCGGGAAACGCTGACCTTCGCTGAGGCTATTGAGTCAACTTTTTAGTCATTTTTAGACATTCTGGTATGTTTCGGTCAATTCACTAGGCTGTTACTCACCCATTCACCTCGACCACGCCGATATAGGGCCACAGGGCCACGCCACATCATTGCATTGTCAGGTTACGTGGTGATTTTGTCGGTTTTCCTATCTTGCGCAGCGTATTCGAGAGATGATCAGGACACCGCTGCCGAGATGATCGGGACACCGCTGTCGAGATGATCAGGACACCGTCGCCGAGATAAACAGGACACCACTGCCCAGATGATCAGGACACCGCTGCCGAGATGATCGGGACACCGCTGCCGAGATGATCGGGACACTGCTGCCGGGATGATCGGGACACTGCTGTCGGGATGATCGGGACGCCGCTGTCAAGCCAACGGCCGAGATAACTGAAAACGAGGCGGCAGCAGGCTCATGATTTTCAGGCGTTACGTTCATCATTTTTGACATATCGCGGTTGAACAGTCTGTTAGGGGGATGGGCAAATCAAGTCTCTATCGCATCATCGAAGCCCTGCCTCTGGTCATACAACACTGCTGGTGAACGTTCTCCCATTATGCGTATTTATGTGTTAGGCTATCCATTTTTCAGTGCGCATGACAATGTTTTGTTATTAAATTGACCAATTGCGAAGTCTGAAGTATCTCTCCATTTTGGGCTTTAAGTGATTCGTTTTTGTGTTAGCCCTTTTTGCATTGTTTTAATTTTGTTCATTAATTTTGTTTTGTTTGATTTTTGTTGTAAGGTCAGTCTTGGTTTTCGCATTCTGGTGCTTGTTGGAGTTGTTTGATTTTTCTGTCAAAATATGGATCCTCCCATCATTTTGAGGGGCCTTCTGAAGGGCCCCATGTTTTTTTTTCTTGGGAAAATAGGAGTCTGCATCTGAAGCCAAGCAAATTGCGTGTGTTGGTTTTTCAGCATTCAGCGAGCTACAGATATACGAATGAGTCAAATACATTGTCTTCACTCCTTGCTTATTCATAAAAACAGGTACCTAAGCAAATTTTCGTAGATTTAAAGATAATTATGGTGACAACGTTACTGTGATAAGGTTAAATGTGCATACCCCTAATGACAACTAATGTCTTGTTGTTAACCATGGTTGGTAACCACAGCTGAAGGATGAATATGATCTCAGGTTTGTTACAGCTCCTTGTTTTGGCACTTATGCCATAATAAGGCCGGCCATGTGCATCTGAAATAAAAAAGGTTGGTTGGCCTATGCGGGTGTTTTGGGGTACACCTGCCTTGCGTGGCGGGTGCAGGTTTTGAGATTTAGGCGTGAGGCAGGTGCGATTATTCCAAATATTAAAAGTGGTAGCTCTGGTCTACGCCACCCACCAGCGTGTTTGCTTTATGCAGCAACGTATTTAGGGGCTGCCAGCATAACACTTTGCCTTTCCGAACCCACCGGCTTTGTCCCGGCCAATGTACAGGGTCATGCTGAAATAAACACAAAAAGCCTTCTCTACTGGTTATTTCTATCACAAAAAGTCACGCATTTTCCAGCGCGTCCATTCAAATCCTTAAGTATAAGCCACCCTCTACCCGCGTAGCCATCACCGTACATACCAGCTACGGTAGGTGGGATAGCGCCTACCGCCTATCTACTGGCGGCTTTAACCTTCCTAAGATTAGTACGCCAAGCGCAGTGTTTATTGCTATTGCTATTGCTATTGGAACGCTCGAATGCTCCTGCATTCCTTCCTTCTAATGCCCTAAGGCCTAAATGCATATAAGTATCTCAAAAGAAGCATTCAGCGCTTTCCACTCACCATCAAACACTTGTATTTCAACTCTCCAAACATGACATGACAAGTGAGTGTGTACTCACCCAATGAGACATTCGTGCAGCTAAGCCCACATATCTCTTCCACATAAATTGAAATGCCACCGAGCTTTTCGTGGGTTATAAGCACGCCTTCATATTTTGTCATCGGCTACCCTGGACAAGGTGGCGTGAGAGCGCACATTGAGCCACGTGCGGCCTGGACGAACAGTGCCACCGTCCGAGCCCAGCGTTATTACTTTTGACCCCGGCAGAGTAATGTCACTCGCTCGCTTCCTGTGTGCGGTCGTTGCTTCAGCCGGTCGACACTTGCCGTTTTTAGCCGCGTAGAACGAAGAGTGGTGTCAGTTTGTAGACCGTGGCTGATACCGGCAATGTAGAAGGATGATGCTTTTCCATAGAAACACGTTTTCGAGGGCAGAAAAAATATTTACATCGCGGGGCAAAAACACAGGTGAAAACGACAGGACGTCGTCTACCTAAATTTCGACATAGCTGTGGCGGCCGTTGGTAAGTCGCACTTGGCGAAGGGCACATTCGCCATGGTCCCGTCTCACAAACCAGCACGCCCGCATTCCCACGAGTCGGCTACAGCGTTTGCGCTCTTTTTGGCCAAGGTGCATTCACACTCAAGGCATGTGCTTCCTAAGGCATGAAATTCATGACGCACGCAATGTGCGCGTGAATAAATGTTTACAGCTAACATTCGAGGCGGACACGTGAAACCAAATAGATTGGGAAAGTGTGATGTGGCTACTAAACGCTACTAAAGGAATTTCGTGGTCTGCAGCGCGTAAATCGGATTCGCATCGAGCCCTTTCAGCTGAGCGCCCGCTCCTCCCCCCCCCCCCCCCTCCCCTCCCCCCGGCATCGGCAATTTCCTGCACACGCCCGGGCGTGTGGTCTCGGAATCGCAGCGCGTTCAAAACATTACAACGGTCACCTTCTGACTGTTGTAATGTTTTGACTGTTGTAACAGTCACCGTGGGACTGTTCGCCCGACAAATCGCCGATAAATATCGAAGTGGGCGCGCGCGTGTTGCTCGGCAGTTTGCCGGGGGCTGAATGCCGGCCAGTGGCGTGATTTGAAAGCCTGCTGCTTGGTCACCTGCTTTGTTCTCAGGCGTTCAGGCAACCTGTCTGGGGCTATGAGTTACCGCTCCAGCGAACGGGAATGTTACCGTGCCGTAGCAGCGGTTGTCGTACTTTCATTATCTTATGCTTGCGTTTGCTTCGTGTTTAACGGCAATTGGTTTTTAGAACAAATTGTTGTGTTACCGTTGTAACTGCTCTGCATTATGATTCCGTTAGCTGCTCTCTTTCAATAGTGTTTTTTTTTGTGGACCGCAGAACGCGAGTAAGTGTGATTAGAGGCAGAGACCATTTATTAAAATAATAATATGAACCCCGCTGGTGCTAAGAAAATGTCAAGTCTACGCATGCTAACAACGACCTGGGTCATCAGCTGCTCAATGTCCGTCTCTTATATACTTCCAAACAATGACGCTAGAGGTCGCACTGTGCTTTCCACCGAACAGTGACGCACGCCATAAGAAACAAAGACGTGTGTTCTAGGCTTAACAAGGTATCGTTATTCACTAATGTCACTGCAGTCACATAGGTCCTACAAATTGAAAGCCTGACAATCAAATCAGCGCGAGCTTGAAGTAACACACATAATGATTTACGCACACAAAAGCAGTCATGGATATACAAGGAGTGAAACGACGCCTCAACGCAAAGCAAACACCAATGATATCGCAGATTATGTGTGTATGTGTGAATATTACTTTGTGATAAGGTGAGCGAAGCATATCGCCAACACAACCGATGGCGTACTCAATAGCGCACCGGCCATAGTCTTTAGCTGTGCCACGGGCTCATGTTTTCGCGTGAAACCGCTGCGCCGACAGTGCTTGCACGGCCGTGAACCGAACACCGTACAGACTGCACGGCCGTGAACCGAACACCGCACAGACTGTACTGCCGTGAACCGAACACCGCACAGGCTGTACTGCCGTGAATCGAACACCGTACAGACCGCACTGCCGTGGATCGAACACACCACAGACTGTACTGCCGTGAACCGAACACCGCACAGACTGCACTGCCATGAACCTAACACCGCACGGACTGTACTGCCGTGAACCGAACACCACACAGACTGTACTGCCGTGAACCGAACACCGCACAGGCTGTACTGCCGTGAACCGAACACCGCACAGGCTGTACTGCCGTGAATCGAACACCGTACAGACCGCACTGCCGTGGATCGAACACCACACAGACTGTACTGCCGTGAACCGAACACCACACAGACTGCACTGCCGTGAACCGAACACCGCACAGATTGCACTGCCGTAAATCAAGCACCGCACAGACTGTGCTGTCGTGAACCGAACACCGCACAGACCGCACGGCCGTGAACCGAACACCGCACAGACTGTACTGCTGTGAACCGAACACCGCACAGACTGTACGGTCGTGAACCGAACACCGCATAGACTGCACGGCCGTAAATCGAGCACCGCACACACTGCACTGCCGTGAATCGAACACCGCACAGACTGTACTGCCGTGAACCGAACACCGCACACACTGCACTGCCGTGAATCGAACACCGCACAGACTGCACGGCCGTGAATCGAACACCGCACAGACTGCACGGTCGTGAACCGAACACCGCATAAACTGCACTGCCGTGAACCGCGCATTGCCGTTAAACGAATGCACAGCCGCTCAGGGGATTCATCAGGCACCGACCCCGAATCGCGGTCCGCATCCAGGCGGACCACCATCACGCATCCAGACGGTCGGCACCACCCTGCCCGGCGCACCCTGCTACATGGGCGCCTGGTCGCGCTGCCGGTAAACCTCGAACAACGGGCGGCAGCTCTCCGCCCTTGGCTGCGATATAGGACGGGTCACGTGAGTGGCCGACCTTGACCTGACCGAGGTCACGGTCGGGACCGATATTGAAGACGGGGTCACGGGTTGTGTTGAGGCTGCTGCAGCGGCGTTTCCAACACCTGCGCAGGAAGTTTTCCAGTACGTCGTACAGTGTCATGGCCGAGGCGCCCAGCAGCAAACCCAGGTTGCCGCCGATGTCAGACATCATCTGGAAAAAAAACGCAGTGATTTCACGGGACTCCTGCCGTGACGGGCAATCACAGGAAGCTGCGACCACGTGACCATGGCGCGCAACAAATGTCGCGCGCTTTGTTACTGATGATTTTGATTTTGCACCCGGCTGGGTTTGTAAACTCCCAGGGTGCTGTGGACGACGCACGCTGACTGTGTGGCACTCTCGAGGTAGTCTCGTGCTGTTGTGGGTGGGGAGCGGGGCTAATGTGGTCGGTGGGGGCAGACTTATGGGTGGGTGGGCAGGGACAGACTGTGACACGCTGAATGTAGCTCTCGTACTGTTGTGGGTGGGAAGGGGCTAATATGGTCGGTTGCTGCGCTGCGCAGCTGCCCAGCTGCCGCCGGTGTTCTGCATCGCTGGCTGCCGGTATCACGCCTGAACACATGAGCGGAGCATCGCTGGCTGCCGGTAGCACGCCTGAACAAATGGGCGGAGCATCGCTGGCTGCCGGTAGCACGCCTGAACACATGGGCGGATGTATCATGAGGAGCCCATTGGTTGGCATACGGGACGGATGATGTTGAGCACATGGCTCGGCACGCCATGACGTCAGCACGCCCAACATCAACTCACACGTGTGAGCCACAGAGCTAGAATGCAGGGGGTGGCCGGGGTATTTAAGGCCCGGAAAGTCCGGTCAGGCACCATGAACGGCTGCCTTCCGGTAATAGTCCATGCGCCATTAAGCACGGTGTCGCATCTCGACCGTCTAGCTGGTGGTAGTATTTGGATGGGACATGAACGGAAACAGATGCACCGAATAAAGTTAACCGTCCTTATTCCCGAGGTATGCTGGGAAGTGATTCCACGCAACCGACCAGCGAGGACAGGAAGAACATTGGCCAGGACCCGCTAGATTTCGACCCAGAAACCCCCGTCTTCCTTAAAGGGAATGTTTCACATTTGATGATGCTACATCAATTGTAGGATATGATGAAATATGCTCACTTATAACACTTGGTAAATTGGAAGTGGAAAAGACAGCTCTGGAAAATACAATTTCTCTGGTTAGTAATTATGCTCCTGAGCAGACACGGTTTGATTACGTCAACGTATCTTGCACGATGTTGATTGAGAGCCAGTTGACTGCCATTTTATCTGAAGATCGTGCTCACGAATGACAGATATGGACAACTCGACAATGATAAGCATGAACGACTCCAGGACTCGGTCTTGATTCCCCAAGGCTAAAGGAATGGCAGGATTTTAGTGACGCCTCATGACATCGTGAATTTCTGGGTGAACTTGAAACAGTCTCCCCGAAAAAGTCTGCACGTCCTAACGGGCGTGTACCTCAGCAACAGGATGGGCTTAGCACTTAAAAAGAACATGGCTGTGAACTGAACCGAATTATCTTCAAAATGGCTGTTTCTGCTCAAAAGCCCATGCAAATGCGGATGAGTCGCTTCAAAGGGAGTGTTCCACTAAAAACAGAATGTTTTGAATGGAAATAACCATCTTGAAGATCATTCGGTGCAATTTACAACACTGCCCTTCTTAAGACCTACGCCCTTGTAGTTTCTAAGCTATACGCCCGCGAAGATGTGCAGGCCTTCTCGGGGAGACTATTCCAAGGACACCCAGGTATCTATGACGTCATAATAACGTCCTTCAAATCCTACCATTTTTTTGGTCATGCTTCGATCAGGGCTAAGAAAATGTAATTGTCGAATCGTGCATATCTGGCTTCGTAGGTATTATTGTTATGAATAAGGACCGTAGGTTGCCTCTCAATTGATGTCGTGTATGGTGAGATGTAATGAAACAATTAGGTGTAGAGCATATTCAATTAATCAAACATTTGTGTTGTCTACAGCAGACTTTTCCACGTAAAATATGCCAATAGTTATAAATCGGCCTATTTCATAATAACTGTTGCTGGCTGCAATATCTTTAAAATTGGAAACTTCCTTTAAATAATCCACACAAACTTCATGCATTTGATGCCTCAACATATTCATTCCCAACATACACTCATCACTCATCTCGGTTATGCTCTGTTCTTGTAAAGTAGTCTTCCACGTCGATTTTTTCGTGGCGGTTTTGCATGATGAAGCAACAACTGTGGGCGTGGTGCTCCGTGGTGCTCCGTGGTTAACAGCAATTGCGTGTTTGCCCTGCTCTATTTCTCGCGCATTTCCGGACATGTATGGCTTTCAATGCCTGGAATTTCCTGATGTTCCGAACGGCGGCGCCAGCGTGAAGAGCCGGGAACTCCGGCTCATTCTTGCCCACAACAGCACTTGCCCGATGATAGTTTTTCCGTGGTTGGGGAACGGCTTCTATGTCCCGCTTTCCACTCGATGCCCTCACTCGTCGAATGTGGAGCACTCCCTTACATCACTTCGTGACCCACAATACCGCGCGCGGCTATGTGGTCCGGCGGTCTGCAGTGGCCATGTCTAAATTTCTGTTTCTACATTTGTATGTGGTTTTAAACTGGCCCAGCGATTTTCAAGATAATTCCCTGATGTTCACAGCGGGTCATTTCGCGCCGCCTAATTGGAAATGGCTCAGAGCTGTAAGCCGTTGTAGAAAAGTCGCAATAACCTCGTTTTCGGAAGAGTCGTTTGTGTTTGTGTGACGAAAGGGAAAGCAAATGTGACCATTGTTTGTTCGTGTGTGCAGCACAAATCGGCACAAATCGCCGTATCAACAGACAGCTGTTGGCTATAACAGTTTCGGTCGCAAAGCACGTTTTGTGATACATCAAACAAACATCTGCGCAGCTCAGCAAGCTATGACTGAAATGAGCCTTAAAATGGAATGGTTCAGAAAAGCGCGATAACCGAGAATGCAGTGCAGGTAAAGTAAAGCCATGCTATCACGGAGAAGTATAAAAGAAGCCACGGGAAGCGCCAAAATACGCGGACATGACGATTGTTGGTTGGCTTTCGCGGATGAATTAACAAGCCACCGTGAGACGAACTGAAGTACAAGTGAGTCAGACCGCTCTCTACTGAGGCAGTTCTGACACGGCCAGTCTGGCAGCGACTCTGACGTCATAAGAACGTTCCATGACGTTGTCAAACGGTGCCTAGCGGGTATAACATTCAATAAACGGTGAAGTTATGTTTAAAGCAGCATTTTGGACTTACCAAAATAATATTTAGTATCTTGGCAAAGTTATTAAAGCTTACCAAAGTTACCAATGAGCTTTTCACGATACTCGATGTTTACCTCAATACCTTCGAATGCGTAATGCTCCCTTTGACTCTGGGACTAGGACGCAATCAGGATTTGCTTTTTATAAGGGAACGCGACACTCGTCATGTCCTTACGTGGAGCGCCAGGGACCGCATTTGCTATATTAACGCTCAGGGGCCATGAGGCAACCGAGATTCGAAGCCGAGCTCTCCACGTGGGACAACCGAGATTCGAAGCCGAGCTCCCCACGTGGGACAATCGAGATTCGAAGCCGAGCTCTCCACGTGAGACAACTGAGCCGAGATTCGAAACCGAGCTCCTCACGTGGGGCAATCGCGATTCGAAGCCGAGCCCGCCACGTGGGACAAGCGTGATTTAAGGCCGAGCTCCCCACGTGGAACAGTCAGGGTTTGAACACACATGGGACCAACTTCCTCCCCGCTCCTGAGTGTGTCTCCTCACCTGCTGTGAGTCATAGGCGACGGACTGGCGGGAGACGTATAAACCCTCCGAGATGCTGAGTGCTACCCACGTGGCGTTCTTTTTGTGGTTCAGCCGGTCCGCCATCGAGAGGGTGATGGTCTCCTTGTAGCACTGCTCGACGCATCGTTCTTTGCAGACGTCCTCGATCCTGCCAGGCATCGATAACACTTACGTCTTAAACTGCAAAAACCGGATGGCCATACAGCTGGACCGTCTTCATCAGCTGACTGAATACGAAGCATGTCTGATAGATATGTAGGGCCACGCATCTGCCCCCTCTCCGTCAGCTAGCTCAGAACGAAGCATGTCTGATAGATATGTAGGACCATGCATCTGGCCCCTCTCCGTCAGCTAGCTCAATGCGAAGCATATCTGATAAGTATGCAGGACAGTGTATGTGACAAGTAAGACCTTCACCCCGTCGAAGCGCCTGCTCCATTCAGCTCGAGTTCAGGCGGTGACATGCACCGTGAGGTCCCGCATTACAAATTCCTCCAGAGCGGACGGCGGTGCTCGGGTACCGAATAGCAGCCCATCGAGAATCCTGCGAACTGTAAGTGAGCCCGCGCACGCCATCCTCCACTGAGACGCCTTCCGGTGCTAGCGTGAGCGACAGCGCCCCAGTGCAGAGTCAGCCGTCAACATAAAGTATGACGCCGCGAGTTGACGCTAAGAAAGAAACAACAGGGGCACTTCACCGTCCCGCGCGCCGAGCGGCGGCGGGTAGACGCTACGAAAGTACAACAGAGGCACTTCAACGTCCCGCACGCCGAGCGGCGGCGGGCGGGCAGAGTGTGGTAACCATAACAGCTTAGGAAAACGACATGTGCATACATGAACATACGTGCAAACGTGCGACGCCGCAATCGGTGAACGTGCACCGAGCGCACGTGGCCAGAGACCTGTGTATTCTTGGGAGTTCCTGTGATAAGCATGTGTGTTACAACGGACCAATTAGATATATTTTGACTCTCATTGAGCGAGTGAGGCGGACATGTGTTTATTTATTTGTCAAGACGTGAACAGCTCACAGCGGAATCAGCTGACTGCACTACAGCGTGACCGCGCAGCTTCCTCCGACGCCCTGACATGGTCAGGGAGTCACTGGACTTGTCAGCTGACTCCAATACAGCGTATCAGCGCAGCACCCTCCGACGCCCTAACGAGGCCAGGGCTTAGGTCCTTGAAATATTTTTCGGCATGGAAATACGGGATAATGCGAGGATCCCGTCAGTTCATATTCTTGTCATCTGGCCTGAGTATACCTGACACAACAGTCAAGGTCACGGGACCCTGTTAATCTTTACTTCTGGCGACTTCAGAGTGTAAACATGATATTTGGGAGTGGACCTGCGGTCCCAACGCCGCGGCACCGCCTTCAGCGGCGTTAGCGACACCGGAAATAATCTGTTTTGGTAGGCTGCCCACCATCGAGATGAGCCCAATATTCACAACTGCCATGCAATTAATCATCGTTGACGCTATGACGTACAACGTCATTACATCTCCACCGTTATCGCCAGGTCTCACCAGAGGTAAGAGAAGGAGGAAAAATGTACCAGATGTGCCGTTCTCTAAAAAGCGTTAACAAAGTCACGTTGTCCAAAAATGTTGGAATGAAAAAGAAAAACAAAATGCTACTATCTACAACCTTTAGCCTCAGTCCCTACTCGCGTCGCTGCATTCTCTCACTCGAATCGAATGAAAAGAAAGAAATTGATTGTTGGTAAGAGTTCTCACCTCTTAAGCGCCATATAGTACTTGTTTCCCGTCAGTTGGTCTCCGCTGTACTGCCAGACGATGTGGATGCGGGAGAACATGCGGGTGTAGTTGAAGAGCGCCTGGTAGTCCTCGGACGTGCCGCAGACGGGCAGCTGGAGGGGCATCCAGGGCAGCCGGCAGCCGGGGCCCAGTTCACCCAGCGTCCGGAACAAGCACGAGCGCATGCACTGCCGGCGGAGCCGGCCGCGAGTTAGAGGGAGCCACAGGGAGCTTAACACACGACCATTGCCCCCCCCCCCCCCCTCCCCTCCTCGTCCTCCAGCCGAGTGCTTGGCTTAAAAGGGACTGTTCCACTTTTATATGGGATTTTGATCCGAAATAGCCATCTTGAAGACCTGACGGTGCTCTTCACAATCCTGCCCTTTTTAAGATCTAAGCCCCTCTAGTTTCTAAGCTACACGTCCGCGAAAATGGTGAAAGGTATATCGGGGAGAGCATTTTAAATTGACCTTAGCATTCATGACGTTATAATAACGTCATGATATGTATATATATATATATATATATATATATATATATAAACTATATTTTTGACGAGGACACATGAACGTCATGACAAAAAAAACTGTCGAGGCTTTCATATGTGGCGTTCGTGAGTGCCATTTCCCGATATCGCGGCCGTCAATTGGCTCTTAATCAATATTGTGCAAGGTACGATGACGTAATCAAATCACGACGCATTGAAGGGAACATGTGCTAAACAGAGAGTTGTGCTGTCTGGAACAGCATTCTTCACTTAAAGAGTACACCAATAGTTTAAAGTGAGCTCGTCAAGAGCGGTCGATGCGGTCCCCCGCCCCCCCCCCCCCCCCCCACCCCCTAAGGTGCTCGGGGGTTATCTCTTCGCTTTGTCATGTGATCCGGTTCCAAATTTCGGTAGCCTACGGGACATTTGTTGCGCGGGCTTTGACATCAAAACAGTGTCTCTGGCATTTAGTTTCCCGAGCAGTGTTAGTTTGTAGTTCTCATACAGTTCTGAGGGCCAGTTCACGGCGGTTTACTGCGGACGCGGGCGGCAGACTGCATCCAACGAGTCTGCCGGTCACTGCGGACGCGGGCGGCAGACTGCATCCAACGAATCTGCCGGTCACTGCGCGCGCGGGCGGCAGACCGCACCCAACGAATCTGCCGGTCACTGCGGGCGCGGGCGGCAGACCGCATCCAACGAGTCTTCCGGACACTGCGGGCGCGGGCGGCAGACCGCATCCAACGAATCTGCCGGTCACTGCGGGCGCGGGCGGCAGACTGCATCCAACGAATCTGCCGGTCACTGCGGGCGCGGGCGGCAGACCGCATCCAACGAGTCTGCCGGTCACTGCGGGCACGGGCGGCAGACCGCATCCAACGAATCTGCCGGTCACTGCGGGCGCGGGCGGCAGACCGCATCCAACGAATCTGCCGGTCACTGCGGGCACGGGCGGCAGACCGCATCCAACGAATCTGCCGGTCGCGGGCTACGGACCGACACTGTCACATTAACATATCCCAACGTGTGACATATGCTCGAAACAGACAATGCTAAAAATTCAATAAGGATTATGTCTGTGTAAGTTTTATGACGCAATGTGCCATTGTTTTGTAAATATGTGAGCTGAAAGTGTGTTCAGCATGTAAAGCTGAAATGTTCGTTATTTGGGATAAATAGCCTTTGGTTTGTAAGCTGTTAAGTGTATTTGCGAGGACCATTGTCAACATACATAATACTGTAGTAAGAGCCTTATTCCTCGAAGAAAATCCAGAAGAACGGAGATAAAGATGCGTTGATTTTTCGGCAACATGCCATCATCGAAACAATAGCTGGAAGTGCTGACTGAGCCAAATATTGTCATGTGCTGGTGGTTTGGCCTTTTCTGATGGTGTTTTTGCACATTTACCGGTGAGTTAAAAACGTTGACTTGAACGCACACTCTCGGCTGCAGCGCCATTGTTAAGCTATCCCATCGCAGGTCTTGTTTTCGGTAATAAGAAGGAATAATTTAAAACTCCTGGAATTTTGTAGCATAAACCGTAATTTCCGATCCTCTTAATCCCTGCCTTGCTTTATCCGGAATCCTTGTGACACCCCGCTCGTCCGGACAGGCTGCCTGCGTCAGCCACAAGTAGGCCGGGAGCCCTCCTGGAGGGGGAACCCCGACCGGACGCCCAGCACACGCTTATAGCGGTCCCTGCGCGGGCTAAGGCTAGGCGGTTCACCCCCTCCCCCCTCCTCCCCCCCCCCTCCCTCAGGTGCATGTTGATCTTTCCCACCGTTTTCCATTCTCCTTCATCCTACAGCCCTGAAATGATAATTTCTGGCCAAAAGGGCTCTATTCCAAACAACCAATCGTGTTTCAACCTTACATAACTGGCATTACAATTGAGCCAATTGGCTGCCGTTATTGCTGGAAATCGCTCTCACGAAGTCGAAATATGAACGATCCGACAATTACATTTGTCTTGACGTTGATTGCCGTATGGCCAGTGGAATGACAGGATTTGATTGCAGTTACTATGAGGTTTTGGATGCCTGGGTTCAGTTCGGTTCAAAACCCCATACAAACGTGCAACATTTCCTTTAACGTTTCTTAACCTTTATCTCCTGGTAAACTGGTAGACCATTATTTCAACGTAAGAGTTAATGGCCTCTCAAGTTTCAATGTTCTCCATCACATGCCAAAGCGTTGGTCGCGCCTTTTCAACCCTCGCCCTGATCCGTCGTGTTTCATAACGCGGACCGATAAGGGGCTAATGTGATACCCCTGCCGTCCCCAAACTACTCAGGATAGAGGTTGACAGAAAACGCCAGTAGATTGGACGTGGTCAGGTCTTGCGATTGGTAATTGCTGTTATTTTGTAGGTCAATAATTAACCGCATTACGTCAGGTGAAAGGTTTAATTTGGAAGAAAATTACACTTGTTTAGTTCTACACGATGACATCTTCGAGACCATGCTTCGTAGTGACACGGAACCTAGACAGGCGTGTTTCTCGTATAATGTTAAATATAACTGTATATAGTTTTAGCCCTATAGTTATATGATGTGATATTTGTAATGCGCTGTAACGCATCGATCAGTAAAACGGCGTGACCGAAGATTGACACGCCCCACGTTGGCAGGATGAAGAGAGCACCCCACCCCTGTGTTCCTTTCGCTTATTGTTATACCAGATGTTTGGTACTATGCAAGTAATACAAGCAAGGTACAAGCAAGTAAGCACTATGCAAGTAATACATTTCGTTTGCTCTGCTTTTTCTAGCGTGTGTGTTCCGTAATGTTTGCAACACACTTATGTGCCAAACCGTGTATATGATAATTGCCACGAAAGCTTGAAACGCACTGCGTAGAAAAAAATATATCCAAACATGGTGCTATTTTCCCGAGAATTCAATGAAACGTTACACTACAGCTTTTATTTCGTCGCTGGGGCATCACATGATCGATGTGATTCTCGGGTTCGGATTTCAACCAACCAACTTCTCTGTAACATGCCCTTGCCCGCTGCGCTCATCACAAACGTTCTTTTATTCACACTGGCAGAGGTGCTCACGGGAGTTGCCATGACGACGGTGGCTGCGCTGCAAAGACGCGTAGTGCTGTGACAAGACGTTGACAGCATAATTTGGACACGATAATAATCAAAAACTGATATTCTCAGTATAGCTTAACAGTCATGCAGTGGCAATACCGAGTGTCATTTTATTAAACATAACTAGTTTTGAGGTTTCACTAGAGTATATTTTTGAAACATGCCCCATATCTACACCCTTTGGGCGGGTGTAGATACCACGTCATTTAGATTTCAATTGCTAATATAGCTAGATACACAAAATTTACAGCATTGAGTAGCACTTTTGATGAAGTCATTTGTGTCAAATTTCTAGGTCTTAGTTGGTGAACTTCAGGTCAAACAATGTGAAATTCGAAATCGGTGCCTAAGGTACCATTAGGCCTCCTCACCCAACTAGCTTTAAATTAGGTACATTTTCTTAGCAAAAATCCCTCGTGTTCATATCATGTCAGTAATCTTATGCGGCCTAAAGAACGCCAAAATGACCAAGCCCCCTCCATCTCATTTGTGTTTATTAAGTTACAATCAGCGTTCAATAACTACCCCCGGTGTTCCTCAGAGCGAGAGGCTGATGACGGTAGTTTTAGGTTAGTTATCTCCCTCACTTTTACGAATTCTAACTAAGCTTCTGTTGACGTCCATGCTATCAAAGAATTATAACTGGGAGTAAAACTGCCAACAAAAAAGCGCACCAGTAAAACGCTGCTTGGTTTTGCCTTTATCTGAACTTGATATATGACTCACATGCAATGGAATCAGTTTTACTCCTGATGTAATTCATTAAACTTGTCTAATTATCGAGGGAAGCATCTTAAAGCTGCATCCCTACGTCTTGGTCGTCCCATCAGCTTCACAGGTTTCTACAAATCGTCATCGCTGACGGGTATGGCCTGCCCTTCGCTTCCTGCATACCAATGGCCTTGCCTGCACCCGAGCTCGTGTTAAATATAAGCTAAATTTCCTCATAACATATATATATATATATATATATATATATATATATATATATATATATATATATATATATATATATGTATATGTGTATATGTCGCATGTTATATACACACACACACACACACACACACACACATATATATATATATATATATATATATATATATATATATATATATATGCATATATGCTATGAGGAATGCATGTGTATATATGCATAGCTGACCGACAAGTCACAGCAAAACATCATCACCTCTGAACATAAGCCTTGCTTGAAAACCAAGGCGTTTTGGCATTTAATGGCGTCACGTTATTTTGAGGAGGTAACGTCACTTTGTCATTGCCCAGTATCATTTTGCTCTTCAGATGCATTACGACGGCCGTTTGAGAAGAATATGACGCTTCACTAAAACGAAATGACGGTACGTCAGGACACAAACGACAGCAAAAATTAATTTGGGCCAAAGGGAGAATCTGTATAGATATTGTGGCAATGCGCAATATGAGCTTACTCTCTAAATAAGCAATCGCGACCTCGCTTCACAGGGCCAGGCGTTCAAAAGATATTTAAATGCGCTACTTAATTTCATATTTCTGGCCACCTTTCCTCCGGTGTCATCGGGAGGGCGCGATCACCGGCGCCGCACGGCCCCTAGTAAATGGTACGTCCAGCAACATGACTGGCCGGGGGGAAGTTGACTTCCCCCCCCCCCTCACTGGCATCTCCATCTTCCAAGACGCTGTATGAACCAAGCAAAAATGTCGTTTTAAACGTCTCATCAAATCATGAAGAATACACACCAAATTTCCTGATGTAGGTCAAATATGAGGTCACCAGAAATCACGAAAAGCCA